ATTATATATATTATCTATGTATTATATACATATATATATTATATATATTATCTATGTATTATATACATATATATATATGTACACATGTATATATTATATATTACATATTATCTATGTATTATATATATATATTATATATTATCTATGTATTACATACATATATATATTATGTACAAATGTATGTACGTACGTACGTACGTACATACATACATACATACATACATACATACATACATACATACATACATACACACGCGCACACACACACACACACACACACACACACACACACACACATATATATATCGTGAAATAAATATAAATATCCGATGAAAAAAATCGTGTAATTTAATCGCGCGCGTACAATTTTTCTTTCTTTTTCTTCTCTTTCTTCTTCGAATAGTATTTGAATGAAGGGGTGGAAAAAAGATAGTAAGAGAGAAAAAAAAGAAAGAAAGAATGAAAATATCCGAACAAAGTACCGATATCAAGGATCAAATAAAAAATAATCATATTAGATGAGAAAGTTTGTTTTCATACCTTGCTTGTGCCTCGTCCAGACTTTGATCGGTGATGTTCATTATCTGTTGTAATATCTCGCCGATGTCCTGTTTTCTAGCCTCGACAGCTTGGTCGGGACCTTGGGCGGCGGAACCATCAACCGGTCCCATAGTGCCGTAACCGGCTGTATTTTGGGCCCCCTGACCCTGGTTAGCTCCCATCAAACCGACACCCGAACCTCCGTGCTGCAGCATCCTGCCAGTCTCATCCATCAACCGTTTCGCCAAGCACTAAGATAAATAATAACCGGTATTCGCGTTTATAACCTAACGCGTATATATATAACGACGATCACGTTTATTTTAATTAATATTATTAGAATTCTTCCTTTCGTTCGTATTAATTTCGTCGTTTGATCGTTTTAACACGTGTTCCTTTTTCTTTTCTCGCTAGCACACGAGACGTTATGGAAGCCCAAAGAGAGACACCGATATACATATAATATAATTCAAATAGAATGAGAATAGGAGCCGAGTAAGGAAAAAAGAAAATAATAAATCCCTTTGTATGATACACGATTTCACGATTTCACGAACAATTAACGAACGATAGAACGATGTTCTTCTTCGGCAAACGCGTTCACGTTCTTGTCCTCGTCGTCCTCGTCCTCGTCGTCGTCGTCGTCGTCGTCGTCCGAAAAACGCAACGAACGGAAAAAAAGAAGAAGAAGAGGGCAAGGGGGAATGGATATTTTCGTGACGCGCGCGCGACACGAAACTCAGCTTCGTCGGTCTCTCGGTGCTTGGAGGTTATGCCGCCGCTACCGTTGCCTCCTCCTCCTCTTCCTCCACCTCGTCCTCGTCGTCCTCCTCCTCCTCCTCCTCCTTTGCTACCTTCACCACCACCTCCGCTACCGCCGCCGTCGCCGTGGCCTTTGTCTCCTCTGCGTACAAACGTTCGACGTTTCTCTCTCTCTCTCTCTCTCTCTCTCTCTCTCTCTCTTCCTCTCTTTGCTTTCGTATATTCTCTTCGTATATTAATTCCCTCGCACGCGCTTTTTTTCACTCCTTATTCTTGCTTTCTTTTTTACTTTACGTGAGAGAGAGAGAGAGCACCCAACTTTGTTTTTTCTCTCTCGCCTCGTTATTCCAACGAACTATCTCAGATAGCACTTTAAAAAATTCTTCTCCTCTAACTCTTGGAGCTGTACAACAGGCAAATAGACTTTTCGTTTTTTTCCTCGAACGATCGCCTTCGAAAAGTCTAGCAGCAAGCACCAGCAACACCAGCAGCAACAGCAGTAGCAGTAGAAGCGTGCATGCCGCTTCTATACTGGTACCACTACTATTACCATCAACACTATATTACTACTACCACTACTTACTTTTACTATTCCACCACCACCACACCACACTACCTCCTCTACTACCACCACCACTACCACCGCCACCAATAACACCACCACCAACACTACTACTAGTACTATTCCTACTACTACTACGACTATTATTACTTCTACTACTCTTCTTCTTCTTGGCACTACTGCCACGAGAGGAAAACCGTGCGCGCCCTCCTCGGCGACGGCGGCGATCGTCCTCCGTTCTTTTCTTCCTTTTCCTTTTTCTCCTCGTAATTTCGTATCCTTGCGAGATAATAATAATCGTCGTCTTCTTCGTTTCCTTCCTCTTCCTCGTCTTCGTCTTCTTCCTCTTCGTCGTTAGAACATCCGGCGGCGTGCGTATAGCCTCCTCTCTCTCTCTCTCTTTCTTTCTTTCTTCCGACGTACAACACAGGACACACACAAACGCGCGCACAAATACACTTCCACGCGCGTTCACACGAGCGCAAGAAGCGCGCACGAGCTTTCTCTCTCTCTCTCTTTCCCCCCTCTTTCTCTCTTTCTCTCTCTTCCTCACCTCCGCCTTACAAGGCAACGCGCCACCACGAGCAAACGAGTGAGCAACCAAGCAAGCAATCAAGCAACGAACGAACGAACGAACGAACGAACGAATGAACGAGTGGATGAACGAACGAGCGAGCGAGCGAGCGAGCGAACGAGCGTCTCTTCTCCTCTCCTCGCTCTTTTCACTCTTCTCGGCCGCGAGCGACTGCCGCGCTCCGCGCACACTCTACTCGACGCTTCTTCTTACGCGCTCCTACGTCGCGCTACCTTCGCACGCACCAATCGCCGGCCATAATAGCCAACGGACTGACCAATCACCTTTGAGCACATTCGCCATAACAGCCTAGTGCTGTCTCTTGTCTCTCCCTCTCGCACACACGCACGTTGCTTGATTTTATCTCTCTCTCTCTCTCTCTCCGTTGCTTTGCCGCGCGCCTTCTTTATTTACGACGCAACGTCGACGCCTTCCCTTCTCCTCTCCTCCTTCTCCTCTTCCCTTCCCCTTCCTTTTTCTTCCTTTCTTTTTTTTTTTGTTTTTCCTTCGCAATTCTCCGTTCTCTCAGTTTTGCTTCTCCGCGAGAAATATTTAACAGGTAACTACGACGAAAAATTGTTGTCTCTCTCGCATACCGACTCCACCTACCTACCGACAGCTTTTCTCTTTTAACGCGCGCGTTAATCCCCTCCTCCCGCCTGCCTGCCTGCCTGCCCGCTCCTAACCTACTCGTTGGAATAGAAAAAGAGGCAAAAGTGAGAATAGGAGAAAGAAAAAAAAAAAGGAGAACTAAAAAAGAAAAGTAACGTCAGGGAGGACGATCGGACTCTACGAACTTACGATCAGAAACAATACCGATCGGCTTTAACGAAGAGCTCGCGTTTGCGGCTCCTCAATGCCGACTACTGCGCACGTTACCTTCCAGCCGAGTACGTATTCCTCGTGATCGGCCATTACGAAATGGCGGGAAAAGGTGACGATTATGAACATTTCCTATTTTTATTTAAAATCAATCGCATTATTTCGATATGAGATTTCATTTTCTATAATATCCTCGTCGAACGAAAGATTGCTTTTAATATTTTATAACGAAAACGAGAAAAATTCGTAAATATGTAAATGTATTTTTTATGAAAATGTATTTTCGAATGTTATAAAAATGTAACGTGCGCCATTTGATTAACGATCATAATTTTCTTTAAGCTTGTTATATATATGCTTCTCCACTGTCTAGATTTGATCTTTTCAGTTTTGTAATTCAAGAAAGAGAGAGAGAGAGAGAGAGAGAGAGAGAGAGAGGGAGAGAGAGAGAGTGAGAGTGAGAAAGTGGGAGGATTGAGAGGGAGGGAGAGTGTATTACTAACTAAACTGTAAACGTATGTGTTTTATTCTTTAAGACTCGCGCGAACCTCTGAGCTCAACGGATGTTTATACCCAATAATAAGTCATCGATGCTTATATTTCACATTCCTCAGCGGTAAACACTTATGGTGCCAAAACTCATCCACAATCGAATAAGATTTTCATTGAAAGCTTTTTATTTCGTTTTAACGAGAAACTATCTCGAGTTTTATCTTCCGTGTTGAACTTCTTTTTTTTCTTTTTTTTTTTTTTCCTTTCTTTTTTCTTTTTTCTTTCCCTCCTCCCCCCTCTTATTATAATTATTATTATTTCTTCGTATCGTTCATTGATACATTAGAAATAAAAAATTTCTACGGTAACATCGATGGACGACAATAGAAAGTAATTCATTCCTGAATTCTAACCTTTTTGGAAGAATACGTATTACGTTCGTAAGGTACTTATAATACACGTTTATCTTCTTAAATATTATTTTCAATTGGTCAAGTTTAACGATTAAACAAACAAGGAAACTTGAGAAAAATATTGCAAATATCGTTTTCAGAATTTTTATATCATGAGATATAATAATCTTCTTGTATATCAGTGGATGCATTGACAGAACAATATGATGAAAACATTCTCACTAATAGGAGATATATTGTCATATTTTGAAATTTATATTACGTTTTTAAAAAATTATAGTCTCTTGACAATTGATTCTTATTTGTGACAATGAACGTTCATCAATTTTACTCCAAGATAGAAAACTTTTATACTGTACAATTTAAAAATCAAAAAGGGCTTAATCGTCAAGGAAATAAAAAAATGTGTTTAACCAATTTGAAAATGTACTTTATGTAAATGCTATTAAAAATAATAAATAGATGATTTACACTCTGTAACTTATACAAGAATGCATATTTAAAAGAGTGCATTGCACTGTATAAAAAATTTACAAGACAATGACCTAATAAGATTATTATCAAAAAATTCTAACAATAAAAAGAAGGATAATAATGAGATTCAAGATAGCAGGAATAAATAGAAAATGAGGAAAAAAAATGATTCCCAGATTTGAAAGATTAAGACAATTGAAACACATTGCTCCTATAAATATTACTATTAATTCAGATAGATCAAGCAATGATATATTTATCAACGATAAAAAGAAACTTGATAAGATAGATATATATTAGAATAACTATAATACCATTAAACATTTTGAAAACAATGAACATTTAGATGTGAGTGATACAGCGTTGATAAATGACACAACTAATAATTTAAATCTATTCAAATTCTTTTTAGAAAATGAAAAGTGTCAATCTATTTCTAGGAAGTCATTTAGTTCTCTGAGTCATCCAAATGAATTATTTCAAAAACACAAAAAGATACATAATTTATATACTCAGAATATAACCACATACAATACTGTTAAGTCTTCTAATCTTATCTATTCTGTAACCATTCATTTAACAAACTCTAAAATTATAATTGTCCAAAATACAATTGTCGCTAATTTGCATGAAGATTGCAGTATTCAATATATTTTACATCTCTTTGAGAAATATAAATGAATTGCAGTATGCATTAATAAGAATGATTCACAAATTCTCTATAAGATACTGTCATGTTTATTTTAAAACGTTACAATAGGCATTAGCAATTGAAAAAAAATATAATAAGTTTATTATATCTGATAAAAGTTTTATTATATTGAGAAATTACAAATTAATAGGTGAGATCAATGAAATGTGAAATATAAACATTAATTGTATAACATATAAACGTAATATTATTTTTATTATTATTGTTACATATTGTGTCGCCAATAAAATCGTATAAAATGTGTATAAGGAAAAATACACAATTTATAAGACAATTATGTATATAATAAATATGATACAAGTGGATGTATTATAGACTTTATATAATTTGTATATTACGTATAGTGCAATGAAAATAAAAATTATAATTACATCGTTGTGATTATAATTAAGTAATCATTTGTCAATAAAATAAATTTAAAAATGTTCAATGTATCTTTTCCTCGATAATTCTATAAACGTACGAATGGTGGCGCTGTATACGTTCATCTCACGTGCGATAAATCGAGAACGTATCTGGAATATTATTTTATGTCTGTATTGGCTTATTTGGGTTTTGACGATTTACACGTGAGTTTATAGAATATGCAATTAAAAATGATAAAAACTTTTAATGCAAAATTAGCGAAGCATATACTTCAAGAAGAGAATAAATTTATTTCGAATATATATTCGAAAATGCCTTTGCCCATGTTCGAATTAGGTAAGAATGTCTTTTAGATTGCTTAACCTAAAAAGTATAATATGTATACAACAAATATTTTACATGTAATAGCATTTGTATCGTAATATTTTCTTTTATTACAGTCAACCAGGACGAAGATGAGGAAGAAAAGGACAATTTTATAGCAAGGGGTTTTTATCTTTTTTTACACATTTTTATTATGTTTCAAAAATATCCATATTTCTTTTTTTTTTACAAATTTGTTTGTTTATATTCAATTGTTTTACATAGAAATAATATATAATAATAATAATATATGTATAATAAAATATTAATAGTTCCAGGAGCGACGACAAAAAGGGCTCAGACTTTCGAAGAATTACATGTCAAATTGGAAGAATTAAAGAACGTTAAAAAATTGGGATACAAACAGAAACTTCTAAAGAAAACTTTAAAGAATAAAATTAAAAAAAAGACAAAAAAAGAAGAACGTTTAACGCAGAAGAAGTCAGTAAGAATGGAACAGCAAACAGCTGATTTAAACAATTTTAATTTTGAAGATAATGAGATGCAAAAAATTCCAAAGCCTAAACCAATATTTAATTCTGAAGGTAAGATGGTCTTTAGTAAGTTTGATTTCTCTGAAATTGGAACAAAGAAAAAATCGTTGAAAAGTGAAAAAGATCCGAAGAAAATTCTTCAACACTTGCAACAGAAAAATGAAAAATTAAAGAAATTGGAACAGTCCGGTGAAAAAGACAAAGTAGAAGAGATCAAAGAAAAAGAAGCTTGGAAATCGGCCCTTGCAAGAGCCAGCGGTGAAAAGGTTAATGATAATTGTTAAATATTTTATTAAATACATTTATTTGACATTAAAATAAATAACATTGTAAATACATAAAAAATATTAGGTTAAGGACGATCCAGATTTATTGAAACGCACAATAAAACGACAAGAATTAAAAAAGAAGAGGAGTTCTAAAAAGTGGGAATCTAGAATAGAGTCTGTACAGAAATCTAAACAAGAAAGACAAGAGAAAAGGCAAGAAAATATTACAAAAAGAAAACGAGAGAAAAAAACGAATAAACTCAAAAAAGCTGCAAAAAAAGGAAGAGTGATACCAGGATTTTAAATGTAATATATATATATGTTTCCTTATTATCAACATTTTTTTAATATTGTAATATAAGAAAAAAAAAAATGTGAAAAGTGAAATCATGGCGCATATATGCATTTATTAAGAAAATGAAAGAAATTAAAAGAAGCTTATAAAAAGTGTCCTTATATAAATATTTTCTTTTAAACACTTATTATCGATATATTAATATTTAATATTATGTATCAATGATTTTTAAGTGATGACATAATTTGTATGAGTTGACAACACCTATTTATATGTAAATATTTACAAAGATGAAAACTCAATATTCATATTTTCATTAAGAATGCAATAATTAAAGTGAATCGATATTAGAAAATTATAAAAAGGAAACCAAAAGAAATATCATTTATATGGACTTTAATTATACAATTCTCTATTTATATGATTTTATTTCTTTTTTCTTATTTTTTTTTTTTTTTGTATGTATTAGCAAAGTTATATTTACATTAGCATATCTAGTAATTATATCTCTACTTATTAAATTAATTATCGTTATCACTAACGTGTAAAAAGCTTTACGTACAATTCTGATACATCGTGTTTGATGATTGTTGTTTTGGTACAAAATTTAATTATGTATTTCATTTTTTTTTCCTCCTATGCAAAGCTTATTTGTTAATAATAGATCTTATTTCTTTTTATCCCTTTAATAATTATCGTTATTACTATATGATTTCAATTATACTTTCAAACATGAAAAATTATGTTAAATTTTCTGTTAATCTGATATTTGAGAAAGATATCCCATCGCGAATATAAATTTATTTTAATATATAATTGGCAAATCAAGGACGAGGGCTTCGATGTAACTGCCCTCGCCTTCAATTTCCTGCTAGGTATCTCCAAAAGTAGTAGATACCGTATTAGCTTGAGTCAAAGCTGTCCATAGAGGGCTATGGTCTATTGGCACCGCTAAAGATTTGGGCGACCTAGGAGATCTGTAAAAAAAAAATATATATATATATATACATATATATTACTAATAAATATTAGCTATACATTAAATAAAAAATTGTAAATTTAATATTAACATTCATTGACACGAAGGAAGATAATTAATTTGTAAAGTTTTACCATTTCAAAAATAATCATTCTTCGCGGTAATTCTTATTTTTAAATATGGCGTATCTCTTATTGGCTGTTAGCATGAACCAATCGCTGGACTTGCTTTCTCGTTCTATAGGATATTGATATATTGACGTCATTAAGCAATTTCCTCGCGCGAAGATGTTTTATTTTTTTTTTTTTTTAATATTCAATTATCATTTTTTTCGATTAAAAATACGACGAACAATATTTTTTTTCATTGTATTATTACGTAAAAAGCGTGACAAAAAATATCTTAATTTATATGTACTTTATTATTTTTAAATTTACAGAGTCAAGATATTGTAAAATAAAATATAACCTCGGCGGTGCCAATATTGTATGCTAGTCAGGACTACTCAATTCCAATGCAGTACTTTGTTCAGGATCAGATCTTTCTTCGACAACGGTATCCAGTTCTAACGATGGAAATGCTCTTGATCCACGATCACTTTTCAAGGATACGGTTCTCGTTGGACGATCAACGCCAGCTAAAGAAAACAAAAAATCATCATCGTCATTATCATCATCATCATCATCAATTTCAAAGAGTAAGTTAAGACGCACGATCTATCTATAGATATTTTAAATAATTATTATGAATTAATATTAATAAATTCGAGATTAAAACTTCACTTCCATCGTTTACCGCCATAATGATTTTAATTATACATTATAAAAATCGACTTTTAAGAATCCTTTGATCATCCCGTTTTCTTTGATCAGTTTTTAATGAATTTTCTCTCTCTCTCTCTCTCTCTCTCTCTCTTTCCTTTCTCTCTCTCTCTCTCTCTCTCTCTCTCTTTCCTTTCTCTCTCTCTCTCTCTCTCTCTCTCTTTCCTTTCTCTCTCTCTCTCTCTCTCTCTCTCTTTCCTTTCTCTCTCTCTCTCTCTCTCTCTCTCTCTCTCTCTCTCTCTCTCTTAATTAGTAATATACGCATACATAACATTCTTTTATATCACTTTTGGAAATGTTTTCTACGTATCCTAATATTTGCGTTATTTTAATTGCAAATAAAATTCGAACGCAGAAAAACATTCAAAAAGAAATTGCTTCGTCTTTGTTGAATTATAAAACTTTGTGAATTATAAAATTTTGCTGAATTATAAAACTTTGCGAAACTTTTTATAATAATGAATCGTCATTATTATTTTATATTATACATTTGTTTTAAAATATTTCTTTTCAATATATATATATATATATATATATATATATATTTTTTTTTTTTTTGTTTTTCCTGAAAGTCTATCTGCTAACAAAAAATTAATTTTTCAAATCATCCACAGGAACTTTTCTATCGTTTTTCACATTTCCATGTGTCAAGCGTGTAATTAAGTGTGTTGTGTAACCATTGTAAAAGCGTATTCTATCGTATATATATATTTATCATGCCCCACGTTTAGAAATGACAACGAAGAAAAGAAAAGAAAAGAAAAAAGAAAAAAAAGAGAAGAAAGAAAGACAAAAGAACGCGTTATCATATTCATTATTTTTCCGACCTCTCATCCCCCTCCCTGCCACCACGAAATTTAAATTAAATTCCAAACGTAACCATGTAACAGTATAACAAAGGCGCTCGCAATCGTACGTTAGAAATATATATAGCATCATAAAGGAGAAACGAGCGTTTTCCTACACGTAAAATATATGTATACCCGGATAGAGAACTAGGTAGAATTTTCATTCAAGCGTTATATAGCCGTAAAATCGCTTAAGAGAATTTACCTAAATTCTCTTCGGATCCTGCACTTGACAGGATGCGAAATAACAGAAAGTATGTTTCATTAAGACAAACACCGGAGGAGTAAAGTTATCTAATTAATAAAACTTTTTTTGATTTTAAATATTTTTACACACCCACACACACACACACACACGCATGTACACACGTACACAAAAACACACACATGAAAAAAAAGTAAAAAGGAATTACCATTTTCATTTATACCATTTTCTATATATTTATTATATGTATGTATATATATATATATAGTAAGAAACAAGAGTGGACTCATTCTTCTTCTCGAAGATTTAAATGAAATTTTTTAGTCCTACCAAAAAAAAAAAATAACGCACACAATATTAATCAGCTATTTTATTTACGTATCCATTATTAACACTACTATTATACGGGTGACGACAGATAACACAACAGATAGGAGTAGGAAGAAATTACAATGATTAATAATTGTGTGTAGAGAGGAAGTTTATAAATCCATTGTAATTAAATATTTATCCTTCGCTTTTTTGTAGAAGAGTGTAAGTTATTAAAGTTACAGTGTGGTGTGCAAAAAGGAAGAGAGAAGATATATTATATGTAATGAAAAGAAAAAGAGTTGGTGGAGGAAGGAGGAAGAGGAGAAAGAGGAGAAAGAAAAGTAGGTGACTCACCTAAACGATGAACCGGACTAAAACGGACTAAACTAAGAGCGCCATGATCCAAATCACAATTCCTTCTTCTCGCACGTTCTCTTGCCAATTTGGCTCTTCTTCTTAAGCAGCAGATTACCATTAAAGCCAGTAATGGAAATCCAAGTATGCAAGATACGATGGGAATAATAATGCTCTCCGGTGTTACTGTAAAAAGTGATGTATATATATATATATATATATATATATATATATTATATATACTGAATATATATTAGGTTGGCAACTAAGTGATTGCGGATTTTGTCGATAGATAAATGATTTGATGCACTTCCCCGCAATCACTTAGTTGCCAATCCAATATATTGAAATCCAAAATTTTTTTTGTAATTTAGAAACGTCAGGAAGAGGCCTTTTTTTTTATAGGTATAAGGAATATTAATTATACATTAAAAGATTTAGAATGAAACACAAAAGTTCATTCGTAAAACTCAAAAACTTAGAGAATTTCTTTTTCTCTTTTTTGGAAAAATAGACCACCTGTAAAAGAAGAGTTTTTGTTTGGTATTTCGTTTATTGACCCAACTTTCGTCGGGTCTACAAAAAATTAGTCTATAGACTCATCAATTGTTCCCCTCCACGGAAATCTTTAGTAAAAGGCGAAAGATTTATGCGTGAATTGAAGGGAAACCAGAGTGAAGTTAACAGCTACCGAAGTAGTTATTATACGTGAAGAAAGTTCTCTTTGTTAGCGAGAACAAACTCCATCTAGCGGTTGATATTGCAAGTAAACATTGGGATGACGTGCGTCGTGCGCATGCGCGCGCCCAGTCGATTGGTATTGGCGAAGAGATGATGGGAGGATGGTTCTGTCGTCAGTAAAAAGCGCGGGCTAGTTTCTTTCCTATTTTTTTTTTCTCTTTTTTTTCTTTCTTTGTTTTCTTTATTTTCTCTGTCACAATCGGTAAAGCTAGCGCATTTACGTGTAAAAAGGAAAAAAGTAGAAGAAAAAATTTAAAAACATCGCATTATTATAACATTTTTCATTTTCCTTTATTAAGGAAATGTGTTATTTCATGAAATTATACGTCGGGTAAATTTAGATTTGTTCGGTCGAAAGGAAAATTTGATTAGAGCAGGTTTACACGTGATATTCTACTTTTTTCTTTTTTTTTTTTTTTCCCTTTCTTTCTTTCTTTCTTTCTCTACTTTCGTTTCTACAAAACAGTAGTGCGTAGGTTGGCTCGGATATGGAGTTAGGGGTGAAGAAGAACGACGTAAAATTATAACAGAGGGCCACGGAATATGGAGCAACGAACTAGTGCATATAATCAGAGTACTTTCGAATGTACGTAACAACTTCAATTTGCAAATGTGAATGTAACGTAGATTGCAAATCATGAGAAACAAGTCTCGGTTAATTAGCTTCTCAAATTTAACCAGTGAAATATCTGAAGCCTAACAGGCAGTACGTGTTAACGAGGCCACCTTTTCATGAAATACGACGATCCCCTGCGAACATCTCAAATAAACATTTTCAACGAGAAATTTAACGTTTACGAATAATATTTTACGAATAAGAATATACATGTACATGTACATGTACTTATCTACGTAAAAATACGATAAAAATACGATAGAAGAGTGAGAACATTCGTGATAACTCAATCGAATGTGAAAAACTTTTTAATTGATCCTCGAAATCCAATAAAAATTTATTTGAAATCATCACTCACGGATCAACGGCATATTAATAAATTTTTTTTTCTTCTTTTTTTTTTTGTTTTACGTAAAATCATTTTTACCTGTTGGATAGACCAAAATGGTAGGCCTCTTCGATTGAGGAATAGTTGGCACTGTAGGTCGACCAGCTCTCACGTCGGCTGACATTTTTTTAATTGACCTCCTACAATCGAAATGCATTCTTGTTTATAAATACGTAAATACCTACAGGGATAAACAGCTTTTGTACAACGATACAAAGCTGTTTATGAGTGAAAATAACTAGAAAATAGTAGAAGATAACAAAAAAAAAAAAAAAAAGAAAAAAAAAGAAAAAGAAGAAGAAATAAGAAAAGAAAAGGAGAACGAAGAGAAAAACATTTTTAATAAAATCTTATAAACCGTGTATTATACAGGAGAAAAGAAAAATCGTTGAATGCTCATAAAGTTTACTAGTACATAGTAAAGTATTTATATATATCGAGCTTCTCTCATTTTAATGCACCTTTTTCTTTGTTATTACGTAGTTCTCTCTTTTTTTTTTTTATATACTTATATGTATATATATATATATATATATGACTTTCTACCTATAAATTGGCCTACATAAGCGTGCACATAAACGCATAAACGTGCGTTGAAAAGAAAGAAAAAAGGAAAAAAAAAAGGGGACAAAAAAAAGTTATCGTTGGGAGAACACGAGGTAAATGGAAAGTCGACTTTATCATATTTTCTTTACAAAAAAAAAAAAAGAAAAAAAAAAAGGGCCATCGTGCGAATTTGTCGTATAACTTGGTTACTTTATATCTATTTTAAAAATTAATGAGGTAACAATGTAATAAAGTAATAACGTAACTTCGTTTCGATATGAAGGGACGGAGAAAAAGAAGAAGAAAAAAAAAGAAAAAAAAAAAAAAGGGAAAAAAGAAAAAAAGTAGAAAATAAAACAGACATAGATACAGACAGAGAAATAAAAATAAAAGAAATAAAGATAGACATAGAGATCCCTCTGTTCTGATCCGTTTGATCATTGCGTTACAGGAACACCACTCATAGTTCTTAGAAACCATAAAGGAAATCTCGACTTTGACGTATCAAAAAGCTTCTAGTATAAGGGATCATGGGATTCAAAAGGAAACGGATAACGATGCCGTATCGATCCGCTACTCCAATGGCTGACATGCGGGCTATTCTTCTTTTTTTTTTCTCTATTTCTCTCTCTGTCTCTCTTTCTCTTTCTCTTTCTCTATCTCTCTCTCTCTCTCTCTCTCTTTCTCTATGTGTATATATATATATATATATTTGCTGTTAGGTATCAACGTGTCTCTGCAGATATAATTTAATCGTAGTCTCTTGGAGAGTTCGATGACGATCCCCTTTAAACATTGACGTTTGCTTTCTATGTTCTCTCTCTGTCTGTCTCTCTCTCTCTCTCTCTCTCTCTCTCACTCTTTCTCTCTCTCTCTCTCTCTCTCTCTCTCTATGTCTCTCTCTGTCTCTCTTTCTCTATCTCTTTCAGTTAGCAATACTGTACACGTTTGGACCATTATCGTCCTTCGCGGCTACCGTTGTCATTTGAGTGCTACTGTTACTGTTAATACTACTGCACTTTATGTCTCCATAATAAATTAGCAATAGCAGTTAGATTCACTACCGTACCTGTCACAAGATTTACTTGTATATATTATATGAGTCTGTTTGCATACAATATGTTTGTATACTATAGAGTAAAGTCTCGTATTAACAGGAACGATATGTTATGTTTATTATACAATATCATTCTACACATTTCCCTATTTTCTAAGATATATTACGGTATCATATTTAAACACAACTATGGTGGTATTAAGAATGATTGAATCTCGTACAAATTCTTTTTCCTCTTTTTTTTTTTTTTTTTTTTTTTCTTTTGCTTTTCTTTCTTTCATTTTATTTCGTTTTAATTGTACTTTACGATACAAATTATAATTTTTTCATGATCTTATCTGAAATCGTATTATACATGTATATGGTCATGAATGATATATATGTATATATAAGCCTGTAATTATGAACGTGTTCTAACAATCATATATATATATATATATATATATATATATATTTCGTATCGAGATAAATTCATATTTGGATTTGAATCATAGGAAATTAAATTTTTCGTTATAATTGACGTAACGTTAAAAGTATAAGTATATTTATCTAAGGAGAAAAAAAAGAATAATTCCTTGAAATTAAAAAAATAATTAAGAATAATAGGCAATGATAAAAAATATCTTTTATTATCTAAAATAGCTTAGATCATTTTTATAATCATCGCTTGATAATATGATCGTACGTAAGTAATAAAAATGTTTATGTCTATGCCTATTACGTGGATCACTATCGTGATCACTTCGATGACGAGGTAAAAACGATCAATGATCAACGAATAGGAGAAATATTCCGATCACGTTCAACGAACACCTTCCTAATTCAGATGTACATACATACATACATATATACGAGACACACACGTATACACTTAAAATCTGTCACGTTTATCGTTACTTGAGGTCTAAAGACCACGACGAGTTTTCTTCATCAATCGATATTCACAAAATTAGATTCGATGTTTAAAACTACGATGTCTTTAATACAATTGATCA